TGGGATGATCAGGATGTTTAGGTGCTCCTCTACAGATGGGACATTCTAAGCTTTGGAAAAGGGCCATCATTCACCATATTAACTGCCCTGAAATGCCGTTAACACACAGTTAGGGCTGTCCAGTGACACCTCCGTATCATCTTGAAAGCCAAATTCAGAAAACAAGGTGCTGAAGAGCTAGGTGCACAGCAGCTCACCAGTGTAGCCCAGCTGGTCCTGACAGTGCTGACTGAAAATGTTCCTGTCAGGGGTGTGCTTTAGTAAGACATAGAGACATGATGATCAATGCCAACCAGGGGGAAGTTACAAACACTGATCCAAAGATGTGTGTGTAGAGGAATTGGTGCAGGCAGGTGTGGAACTCAGTTCCAATGGTGGTTTAACACAATTTCCTCATTGTGTGAGGAAAGCGCTCATAAGACTGTCTCAGTACTCCCACTATGTGCAGCCCAGCCAGAACCCCCTGCTCCTGCCTCCCTGGCAGTGCCAGTGGGCAGTTCACCAAAAAAAAACCAGGCAGAGGGTGTGTGTAAAGTGCAGAGACTGATACAGGGCTAGGGCAACTTTGTGTGGAAAGGGATATACAGCAACAAATATATAAAGGCTGAAAGCAGATCTGTAACCTCTTTCACTGTTTTTCCAACTACATATATCTGTTTCCTTCCTTTTACACAAGTTCTGTCACATGACCACTGAGGGGGAGAGTAGCATGGGCACCCACTTCTCAATTCTGAAGGGCAGCAGCAACACTTGTACTAAAAAAGGTGTTGGATCCTACATCATTAGCACCAGTCATAGAGCATTACTGGTCCCTCTTGCAAAATTCTGGTGTGGCTTTTAAAACACTGCTTCTCTTTGTTCAAAAGATGAACTAAGAGAGGAAGTGACATTTTCATGTTAAACACTTCAGGTTGTTTCCAAAATAAATCATCTTGCGATAAACCCTATGGTGAAATTGCGCACTTTCATTTTGTAATAACCAGCTCATTTGACAAGGACTCATTGCTACGTGCCAGTCTTCTGATGTGTCACACTGGTTGAAGACGTGTTGGCACTGCTGACATGCAGGAACTTCATGGAGGCCTATCTCACTGTGGAAGACAGTATGTGCACTCAAACTCCTACTAAATCTCTTCTCTTGGGAAATCCAGTTGCATTTTAAAGGATAATTCAGAAAGGAGTAATCTTCACTGACAAAACTCAAACTTTCTAAATAAAGAACAGCCCCTGCCTAACAACCCTGTATTTGGAAATCTCCTTGCCTTTATTTCAGCACTAATTAGAAGACAAAATATGGCACAAAATCTATCTCTAGTAGGATTCCTGATTCTTCACCTTTGCTTATGTCTGATCCAAAAGTTACAGTAAGCTGTCTTGAGATCAGTGGGGTTTTAATTCATCTTTTCACTCATACTCTGTCTTATTCACAAACAATACAAGCTTTGTGCATAAGCTTGATACCAAATGTAATTTTCTTCTCTGTCTTCCAGATGTTTAACATTTTAGGGATGAGAAGGAGCAGAAGCACATAGGTAAGGGACACTCCACAAGTCATAAACCAAGTGTGCTCTGCAGACTACATTTCAGGTCCCAAAAGGCAAATCTATCTAAATGTTGCTGGTGGGATGCTTCAGGGCTGAGCAAAGCCCTTGCAAAGCTGCAGGGCTGAGCACAGTTCTCCTGTGCTGTGATACAGGGCTCATACACCAGGACAAGTGGTGCTGTTAAGAGGCTGGACCCCCCTTAGCAGCCCTCCCAGTAACTCTGCGCCTGGTATTTGTCCTGATTATGTCAGGAAAACAGTGAAAACACAATCACCTCTAATCCCAAAGCCCCTCTTGCTATAGTATAGCTTCTGTGCAATTGTTCTCAGCTTGAATACTACTTCCGCCCATTTTCACAGGCTGCAAAGCCCCCTATGTACCCCCCCTAGAATAATTTAATAAATACATTGCTGGAGCAATAATAGATGTAATGACATTAATGGTCATTTGTTAATGAGTTACTTTGCAGTAAGAACATCATATCTTTCAATTTAAAGAAATCCAGACTTTACCAGCAAGGATTTAATTTATAAGTAGTGTTTCCTTTACTTAACATCCCAAGTAAAACATCATGCTGATTTGTGTTTCCTTTTAAGAAATTAGAACCTTTTCATTTCTGGGAGTTTAAATTAATTCCCAGTGTTGTGACATTAACACCATCAGAAGTCACAGTGTGCTGAAGCTGATGGGGTCCTCGGGCCCCCCCAGCAGCTGCGTCAGTCAAGTTACCAGTAAGTCAAGTAAGCAGACCAGTGAGGACCTTGCAGGGTGAGCTCATTAAGGGTAGTCTGTGCAACAGACTCACTTTCAGGATCAGGGAACAGAGTAATTAGGAGTTGAGGTTGTTGCCAGTAGCCAGGATAAAAGTATCTGGGGTAAGGAAAAGAAACAAACAGATGAAGGTGAAATACCAAGAATGGAAATGCCTCCAAGTAGAAACATTTGTTTACCCTGTAAATACTAAACAGGTATTTCCCCAGAGAAAGAATTGCCTGGGATTAAGTGATTTGTAGGAATCAGTTGCTCAGTAACAGGTAGCAAGGGAAGGTGGGGTGAAGGCTGCAGAGGTAAAACAAGCCATGTGCTGCTTTTACTTCACAGCCCAAAGCCCCGGGCAGCTGCACAGGCCCCACGAGTGCCTCCCAGCCTGCACTGGAGCACACACAGGCCATTTATCAGAGGAAATTCAGAGTTCCGTGCTCCCAGGCAAGTGGCAAGGGTGGGGCTTTCCTGTGCTTATGGGCTAAGATAACTGGCATTTCTCCCCCCTTTTTTAATTGTTCTTCTGTGCTGCTTTCTATATAATCATTATTATCATCATAAATACAGATGTTATTTAGTTTCAGCCTGTGTTCCGGGTTTCTTCCTGTTCACCTCTAAGATATCTCTGTCTCTGTAGCTGGTTCTTTTGCACATTCTCCTCTCCCTGACACCAGGGACTTCTCTGAGTGATTGTAAGCAGCCTCAGTTTGACAGTCTGCACAGCCCCAGTCACACATTCCTCCTGGACTCGCACACTGGAATGTACAGTTTTAAGTAATTGAAGTAAACCGTATGTATTTCATAGACAGCCGGATGAGGAGATAACTCCTCTTAAGCTCCATTTACCAGGCAGCCTCTGTTTGGAAGACATTTTCCATGCTGGAAATGTTTACAGCTCCTCAGGCAGAGATAATCAAATGAGAGGCTACAGTCATCATGTGTCAGTGTGTCCACATCATCATGGTCCACAAACTGCGCATGTTCTTCTGTTTCTTTTTTAGGGTGTCTTGTGGCTAAAGTTTGTCTTCCTGTTGGAAAAATAATAGAAGTGAAAGGCTACATGCAGTGTGCTGTGACCTTGTTGCCATCCTCCTGTTACCAGCACTAAGGTCCTCTGCAGAAGAGTCATCAGTGCTGCTGTCAGGATGTAAGCAGGACGTTGCTCAGTGTTAACCCATCAGTCATGTCCTCAGCTGCTGATACATGTGATTCCTTTAATTTTTGCCTATCGTTTCTTCTGCTGCTTCTGCTTCACACATGGACTTTTCCATTCATACTGCATTCACATCTAAATATTTTCATCACAAATCTCTGCATGCCATAATGCCTGCTGTAAATCACTGTACAACAGAGAAAACTGCTTATATAGGGGCAGGAAATATGTTATTTTCAACTCCATGATCCCCTCTGCACTGGAAGGATACTTTGGGCTAACTGAAATCAAATCTAGCCAAACCAGTTCAAAAGTCAGAGTGAACATAGCTTTCAATTTTGTCTAAAACATTTAAACTTAAGATAAACTAAATCAAAGCAAGCCTTTCTCAGGGCACCCGGTGGAGAGCCACTGGACAGCAACTCCCCATGAGCGCTGTGAGGCAGCTGGTGAGGTCTGTTCTCCTGCTGCAGCCATAACAGCAGCATTGGCACCACAAATGCGGGCTGTATCTGCCAGCCCGGGGGAGGACTGTGAGCTGCTGCTGACCTGAGGGGGTTGAACCAAGGTTTCTTTGCAAGAACAATCCAAGATACCAGTGGTCCATGGAGAGACTGTAGCAATTACAACATCCGCATAGCCTGATGACAAAACCTCTTGCAAATACACTTTTTGATATGGGCACGTAACTCATTGACACACCATAAAGATTTGAGATGTGCTCGAGTAATTAAAGCAGTAAAGTGAAGTTTGAAATCTTTGCCGCAATATATTTAAATAGAATGCCTTGCTCTTGGCTCCAGTATGAAAACAGAGTTTCATGCCTGGTATAAGATAAGAGTGATTATTCTTCCCAGACTGAATTAAGAATCTCTTTACTGGCCCTGACAGATGATGTGCGGATCTCATATTCAAAGCTCCTCCATTTCCAGGGTGGTTCCTAAGGTGTGTTTGGTGGTGCTGGCTTACACTTTTGCCTGTCACAGTGTGCAAGAGATAGATGTGCAAGTCAGTCAGTGTGCTCAGTTTTTTGGGAAATGATCAATTAGGCTCTGATAATCAGGATGTCCATACTGCAGGATGTCCATATTGCTGGGTGCCTGCACTGGCAAGCCCTCTCCGGAGGTCTGGCTGTGGACTTTATCAGTAAATAGGAAATATACAGATAAGGAGCACTAAAAGGAAGAGGTTCGAGCAGCTGAAGTCCGGGAGGAGATTCCTCCAACCCCATGCTTAACTGGGAGCGGGCAGCGTCCCTGCGAGCTCCCCCCGGAGCAGCGTGCAGGGGCGAGGAGAGGGATGGGTCCCCGGCTCCGGCGAGAGCCCCCCGGCAGCCGTGAGCAGCAGCGGGAGCTCCCCGGCCCCGGCCCCGGCCCCGGCCCCGGCCCCGGCCCCGGCCCCGGCCCCGGCCCCGGCCCCGGCCCCGGCCCCGCGCGTCCCCCCGGCCGCGGGAAAGGGCCGGGCCAGGCGGGGGGCGGGCGGGGGCGGACGCCCTGCGGCTCCTCATATAGCGGTGCCCGGCGGCCGCGCCGCTTAGAGCCGGCTCGGCAGCGGTCTGGGCAGGGTGGTACGGGCTTGCCGCGCCGTTTTCCGGAGGTTTCGGTGCGGGGCGGGCAGCGCCGGCGGCAGCATGACTTCAGCGGCGCTGGAGATTTTAGGGCTGGGGCTGGGCATCCTGGGCTGGGTGGGAGTGATCCTGGCTTGCGGGCTGCCCATGTGGCAGGTGTCGGCCTTCATCGACGTGAACATCGTGGTGGCGCAGACCATCTGGGAAGGGCTGTGGATGAACTGCGTGGTGCAGAGCACGGGGCAGATGCAGTGCAAGGTGTACGACTCCATCCTGGCGCTGCCGCCCGAGGTGCAGGCGGGCCGGGCGCTCACCGTCGTCGTGGCTCTGCTGGGGCTGGTGGCGCTGATGGTGACCGTGGTGGGCGCCCAGTGCACCAATTGCATCCGGCCTGGCAAGATGAAATCCCGCATTGTGATCGCCGGCGGGGCTATCTACATCCTCTGCGGGGTCCTGGTCCTCGTCCCACTCTGCTGGTTCGCCAACATCGTCATCAGCGACTTCTACGACCCCACCGTGCCACCGTCCCAGAAGCGGGAGATGGGGGCCGCGCTCTACATCGGCTGGGCGGCCACGGCCCTGCTGCTCTTCGGGGGCTGCCTCATCTGCTGCTGCTCCTGCTCCCAGCACGACGAGACCTCCTTCCCCGTCAAGTACTCGGCACCGCGGCGGCCCACCTCCAACGGCGAGTACGACAAGAAGAACTACGTCTGAGCGGGGCTGCCCCGCTCCCCCCGGCCCACAGGGGACACGGACAGAGGGCTGCGAGCCGGCCGGCACCGGGCACGGCGCCGGGACCGGCTGCGGTGAGCTCCAGCGCTCCCCTGCCTAGAGGCTCTTCTTAACGGGGACCCCCGTGAAGCGGCAGCCCTAGGCAGGGCAGCGCCCCCGCCAGCCCGGCTCCCCGGCGGGTCTGGCCGCTCCGCTGCGCCGCCGGGCACCCGGTACTGACCGTCCGCGGGCCCGGGGCGAGCGGAGCACCCCCCGCCGAACCCGCGTCCTCCCGGCCCGGGGGAACCGAGGAGCCGGGGCGAGACGCGGCAGCGTCTGCCGGGACGCCCCGGCCGGGCTCCCGCCGCGGCTCCCGGCCCCTCCCCGGCCCGCCCGTGAGTACTTCACCCCCCGCTCTCGCTGCCGGTGCCGCTCGGGGCACCGCCTGGCCGGGAGCACCGGGCCGCCGGGCGTGCACTGTCGCCGAGGAGAAGCCTCCCTTCTTCATTTTCTCCCCCGAAAACCTGCATCTGGCTGTTCCTGCTGGGGCTTTCACTAGTTAGGGGGATTTTGTTCTATTTGGGCAACTAAACTAGGGCTTTTGTCTAAAGCATGACACTAACCTTGGTCCTTAATCCCGCTGGCAAGTAACTGTTTGGAGAAAGGTGATTTATTTAGTTGTTGCAGTCTCTCGGAGGAGTGCATTGCTGGGTGTGTCTTTGAGACCTTTGAAAGAGATGTCAGGTAGTTGATGTCGTTTAGTGAAGCACAAGCCAGATTACACTAGGTTGCCCCTCGAGGTTTTTCATCCCTTCTCCTTCATCAGCTTCTGTTCTGTTTACTTGAATATGAACTCATTGCCAGAAGTATTGGAGGACTAGACTCAGATCTAGGAGATCTTTGTGTGTCCTGACTCCAGTGGGGCATCCCTCTGCATCCTCTCATCTGCACTACAGGAGACTGGAACCAAAAATTGTCCCAGATGTTAATGGTTGGGGGTATGGGTGGTTTTCATGACCTTCTTGCCAAGCCGCACTTGCTGCCAATTTTGATTTGTGTGTTCAGCTGGACATACACTTGGTTGGCTCCCCATCATAATTTTGTTAACGCGTGCTTTCCTCATTTACCAAATCAGGCAAAGCAATTGCTAGAAGAATTTTACCAAATATCTTGACTGAGACTTTATGCAGGCTCATCAAAAGATGTGAAGTCATGGCTCTTGCAGCTCTCAGCTCCTCCATATTGCCCTGGTAACACTGCAGACTGGAAGGAAGATGCTCTGGGCAACGTAACTCTCATTTTCTGAGCTCAACACCTGTTAAACTTTGCCACAGCCTGGAGTATTAGCATAAACCTTTCCATTTTACACTGCAGAGACAAACTTTTTTTAAAGGAGAGGTTAAGGGGTGGTGTGATAATCTTCCATGCAAACTACTTGTACTTTTAAATCAACACAGAATTCTGCCACAGACCCTGGCAGCATCTGTATCACCATAAGGAGATTTCTGCCAAGAATCTGTGAGGCGATGCGCTGTTTATATTCCTTGGAGCACAATGCTACAACCTCGTGGGTCCCTCACAACCATGGAGCGATACAGTGTACACCTAACCTGAGCGTTAACTCTTACAACTTTCTGATAATGCCAAGACTTACGGACTAACCATAGCCATGGGTTTGTGACAGATTTACATTGACTCTGTTCTTACCTTGCTTAGCAAACTTAAAACCCCAGTGGTATCAATATGTATGCAGACCTGAATGACAGACTAAAGCCTTGCCCCTACAAATTTTCATGTTGACTATTGAACACACAATTTACCCTTTTAAAGATAACTGCTTTCATTTTAAAACACATAAATAGCAGGGTCTGAGCCCATCAGAGAATACAAAAGCAGAGCACTATGTCTAGAACTAGTTTTGCTCTATAAAGAGGTGCAGTTCTTATACCATCTGCATTTAAATAAAAGCTATAATATTGTTGTTATGATGTGATACGTAGTTTTGGTACAAGAAGGAAATATTCTGTATTTCATCATTGCAACTTTTTTTAAACCGTGTAACCTTGTAAAATGTAAATGTATTTAAAAGCATATATTTTACAAGAAATCTACCAAAATTGGCTTGTTACGTGGTTTGGTGCCTTTATTTGTTTTATGGTTACTTTATTTTAAATTATAACATCCAACTGTATTTGTCAGCCAGCCCATAGACACACCACGCCCTCACTCAACTCTCTTGCATCTAGCAAACCAGTCAACTGGTATCAGCCCAAATTCTGGACCTCAATCTCTTGTCTCAAATTAAAGAACTGAAAAACAACCCTCACTGACAAACACAACCGCATGCATCTGTATTGTAGACTCTTTAGAAATGTTGCAGGATTTGGGCTCTGTCCAAAAGATGAAGTCTTTCTGGGCAGTGCATCACTAGCGTTTAAAATCAAGTCAAAAGTGGTGCCTTGGGGAGAAGGAGGGAAACCCACACCCTAGAAGGGAATGGTTTTTTAACAAGCCAAACTTCTTGACATGTAGCTTTGCGTTACGGCAGGGCTCAATTCTCTTATAACCAAAATTTGAAACAATTACACATGACCTCTTCAAAGAAGCCAGCACTAACTGTGAATGTACTAGTAAACACAGCATCATACCAAAAACACGCTACTGCTGATGTAACCATGTTTTGCTGAGGTCAGTGGGGCAGTGCCCAACAATACTAGCAGGAAGTGGGGCCCATTTTTAAAAAATATTTTTATATTTAATCTCATCCTTCACTATACTTAGTTGTTGCTGCGCTTTAAAAAAATAACCTAAGAGAACGCTGTTACCGACGGCACTGGCTTCAGGGTAGAAGTCTAAGTTGGGTTTTGCTGTTTTGTTTTACAAGAACAAAGACCTAGTCCTGAACCTTAAGACTTGGAAGCGCTCAGGTTCAGGCCCGAACCTCATCCCAATGAAAAAAGAAATCTATAGCACTTGTTTACTATTTTTATTTTGTATTTATGATTTCACATAAAAATAAAAACATCTAAACCAATCCCTGAATAGGGTCACTGTTTTTTGTGAAAGGCACTGGCTGGTTTGGGCTCAGGAAGATGGGGTGTGATAACCGTGCCCAAAAGGCAACCTTCACCTGGGCTACCTTGGGAAGAAGGAAGGACTCCTTCCTTGCTGAGACTCCTTCCTTGCAGAGCAGTCAGCATCTCTGCTCTCCACCGAAGCCTCAGACAAAAGAGCAAGTAGCAGCAGTTGGTCTTGTGATGTGAGCACATTAGGAAATGGAGTGTGAGTCCCAACTATTTTGAGAACAGCTCTAAGCATGAAGCTTTTTAAGCTTTCAATTCCTACATGTTTAAAGTAGAACTAAAAAAATCCCGCTGCAGCTTGGATCAGCCCCAACCTGACCTGATACCCTAATTCTTCCTGCCACCCATTTTTTTTTTTTTTAAAAGTGCATTCAAGCTGGGAAAAACATTTTCACAAACGCATCAGAACAGAATCTGTGAGAAAATGGCTGTTAAAGGAAACTGTAGAGGCTAATTGCTAGCAGGGATATTTGCCTAAATTATATGACTGCCAGGGAGGTCTTCCAATTTGTTTGCAGATTTTTTTTTTTTTTTTTTTTGCAAGATCTTCAAGCTTTTTTAACAAACTGTTGCTTTAAAAATGAAGAAAAAACATCTTCAAAGACTTCGTTTTGCAGCATTCTTGCCAGCTCGGTTGAGATTAACAAAAGCTCCTTGCCACCCTCCCATTGCTATGCACATGCTGAGTTGGAAAAAGGGTGTCTGCTGGCTTGGCCTTTGTCCTGCTAAACGAACCATTTCATAGTTATGAATTTGAAAGTAACCTGCAGTTCATACCCTGCAAATCTGGTTAGATCCTGTCTGTGCAAAGAAGGGAAATGCACCAGGCAGAGGGAAAAGGAAGCTCAATCAGTCATGTTTGCTGCAGGATGTTTAAGGAAATAGTTCCTTTTCCTGCACAATGGTGTTTGTTGGGCATCTGCTCTTTGGAACATACTGAAACATTTTACTATTGGAGTAAGAAACCAGTACAACTCCAGATTTTGATTTATAAGTCTATTCCCTGATCAAATACTATGCAAGGAATTTATTATTTTTTCTTGGGCATCTTTCAAACCACAAATGCAGGTAAACAGTCTCTTAAACCTACTGTCCTCAAAGTGAGACTGACCTGTACATCTGTAATGCTAAATGAGAATCCCGTCAGAAGCCACATGACACATAGAAGTGCCCTATTCATGCATATATTTAGCAATATATTAATGCAGTATTCAGCATCAGATGATACAATGCATCTTTTTTTGTTGTTTTGTATGCTAAAGAAGAAAATCATTAATTAAATACACGTGTTTGAAGATTTGCTTTTGTAAGTCTGTTTGATTAGACACAGCAAATATTTTTGCTGTATTAATTGGAAGATACCAGGTAAATTGTCTTTTCAGGTCAAATATTGCATTTGTTTTAACTGTAGATTGATTGTGATAGGATAAATCATTCCAAAAGCAGAGCTACAAGGGAGACTCATATTTATATTTTGAAAGCAACCAAGTTCTGTCTTTTTTATTTTGATCAGACCTTTGTGCGTGTCTCTGTGTGTGTGTGTGACTGCTCCAGACTGTTCCTTGCTGATTCTCTGCAGGAACAGGTTCTCTGTCTAGAAAACCCCTTCTTCTTCCTACCACAACCTTCAGTTGTAAGAAAAAGGACAATTTCAACCACTGCGTCATTGATAAAACCTCCCATGGCAACAGTGAAGGCTTTACAGTTGCTTGGATACACAAGCCTTGCTTCACTTTTTCTTAAACACAGATTGAGACATTCTGCCATGAATCAATTTAACAGTGTCCTTTGTCTGTGGCATTTTGAGATTTTGTTTACAACACTGAGCTTCCCTCTCCTTCCAAAGCTTACCATGTAGCTTCAAACCAAAATCTGGCAAGGAAAGGTAGTGTGAGTAGTAGGACTTAACATGAAAGCACATGTGTTATGTCGAAGGCATCTGTCCAAGGCTCATGCCAATCTTTTAATCATGCTTGATTCCAGCTGCACCCTGGCCAGTCTTACATTGCCCTGAGGTATAGCTTTGCCTCACTGAAACTGGCACCTACTATTTGAGTTGCTGATCACCCCAAGATACACAGGACCCAGAAGGTATGCCAAGTCTATCCCACAGAAACTGCAAAGGAATTGCCACAACTGATTATACATGTTACGGTCTTGATTACTTCAATGCACAGTCACAAGCATCCTCTCTGCCTCTTATTCATACACGCACACACAGGGAGAATACAGTATTGCACATCCATATTTTGACAGGCACTTGAACGGGGTAAATCCTATAGTCACTCCCACTAGTAGCACTTCAGTAAACTCAAGATAATGGCGGAGCACATCACACGAACTTTACCATTACACTATGAAAATACTCATTAATAAGAGTCTGTTTTAAAAGTTACCTAGGAAAATGAATGTATCAATCAGCTTGGATGTTAAGCAGCCTGAATATAATTAACTGATGCATTTACTGAACTGGCTTTAGCTTTTTGTTTTAAGAGCAATGGAATCATACAGCATGGGCAACTGTACATACAGCACTGATATTCTTAAAGCAGAAGAGTGAGACTTGAAACTACTATCTAGTTGCCTTGTTTTCAATCTACAAAAGCAAGAAAAAGAAAAACACACCTCACTCCATGACCAACAGAGTTGTCAACAAGGCACACCAGTCTCATCATGTTAATATAGGAGAGCAAATTAAGAGAAGACCTCCAATACCTAGTACAGAGCAGTGCAAAAGGACTTTGACCAACTAGAAAACCAGGCAGAAAATAAAATAAGCTGCATCTTGTACTCTGATCCTCCTCAGAGCATCCTGAATGGCAAAGGCCATTCACATTGACTAAATCCTGGTCAGCTGCTGGCAGAGTATTCATAGCAGGTACAAGATGCTTCTGAAGACCAACTGAGGTGTTATTCACACAAGTTACTATTTTTTGGGGAAAAAAATATGCTTAGTTTAGACAGGCTGAAGTGCCTCAGTGCTACTAGGTCCAGGAATAGCGGTGGATCCATTCCTTACTACACCTCAGCTCCCAGCTGAGGGAGGTTCCCTTCCGGTGGATCCTCCAAGCTGCACCAGCCAGGCTGAGTTTGCATAACACAGGAAGGTGCTCTGGTGTACACAAACATAACAGATGAGATGAAGCCAGTTCATGTTTATTTACAGTAGAGAACAAAAGTAAATGTTTAAAATAGCTGATTTTTACAGGTAAACAACAGATAACCCTCTCAAAAGTGACTCTGATCCAATGAGCAAGCTGTGAACTTTGTGCCAGTTGTAACACTGCCATGCATCACTCATTGCTGGCTAAGTCCTGCAAGGAGGTAAGTTACATGTGTGCAAATTCTAAGTCTTAGCACCTTATAGCACCAGCTGTGTTGGCTATGAAATTTTTTTTTTTAAAATGAGAGGATTTAATGTGTTAAACAAATGCACCAAAAGCGAGGAGATGCACAAAACCAGATCCTACAACAACATTTTTTAATCGGATAGCAAAAATAGTTTGCAATATTAAATGCATTTTGGATTTCAGCTGCGTTTATGTTCCTAAAGTTTCAACCAACTAGGTTAGCTGACAGAGGTCTGAGAGACATTCATCTTGATCTCATACCAGGTACTACGGCAATTAATCTAACTACACGTGAGTACCTATGGGCTTTATTCCTGCTCTCAAACACATTCTCACCTTAATCAATTCCCCCTGTTACACTCATACATAACTCATTAGTATTAACAGTATTTGTAATCAGAACACTTCCACAGGAAGTTAAACCTTAAGAGAATTTAGGCTCGGACACAAAAGAGATCACTCAGGAAAGAAAAACAGGCACTCTTGACAAGGGCATATGTGAAATCCCAAAATGGTATGATTCAGTTTCAGTATCGCTTCACATATTTGAAGGATTGCAGAAAAATACAACAATCAATTCTTATCAGCTCTAACAAGTGCCTAGCACGGCAAAATTCTTGCGCTATGTATATTTTTAGATTACTCTTCCAGTTACAATGTTCTGTCCTTACTGTATATCTTTTGTTAGAATTAGGATATCTGCTGCAGCAGCCTGGATAACCTTTAGCCTGAGCTACAGAACCTTTAACAGTTTCCAATTATAACAGCAATCTTTCATTCTATAATACAAATAAACCCAAGTGTTATCTCAACACAGAAGACTCACATGAATACCCAATGACTGCAGAATGCTTTAACCTTTTTTTTTTTCTCTATAATTTCCTGCTATTATTTCATTGGAGGTGAATGCCAAGATCCAAGCAACATAATACATTTCACTGTTTACATCTACTTTATTTTTGTTATACTGTTGACATGCAAGACTGAAGTTTTCAAAATTTAACATCTACTCTGAATTCCATTATGTTCTTAGACTCTGAAATTATTTTTTAACCCTCCCATTTTCTCCTGATTTTGTCTTACCCAACTGAGAATGTCTATCTGCCCCACTGCCTGCCAATTTTGGAAGTGTCTTAATTCCCATAGCTTGTGCCATGGAAGAGGAGTTTCTATTGTTCAAAAAGGTATCAGACACATCAATAAGAGTACCCTTTCAGATATACAGAAATAGTTTCCCCATAAACATAATTTTCGTCTACTGTAACAACGCACCATGTTAGAGAAAAGAGTTAGTTCCACTGGGTGGTACAGCAAGAAACTAAACAAAGGCATTGTTAAAACAGTTGTTCTGCAACAACAGATACTGGATTTTCCCAGAAGCCAATGTCTTACTAAGAATGTAGGGGTAAAATGCTGGTGTTTGGATAATATGGAAAAGAGACTTCTTGTCTACTTGGGGTTATTAATGACCGCAACTATTCAAGACATCCATATCATCATTATAGTGTCCCTCCTAAAAGGAAAGCTATTACCCATGGCATCCTGCCCACATTCCTCTAGAGCTGATTACATTCTTTATAACCTGCACTTTC